TTGATGACGTCAGCTTTGGACTTGGAAGAGCGGTTTGGCCGTTTTCAACTGTGTGTGATGCTGTAACGACGAATGCAGGGAGTAACGGTGGTCATCATCACGGCGTTACTATGCCCGCCACGTGGCAGTTCGAGGGTTTAGAGAGCAGCAACAACAACGGTGGATTCGTCTCCGGTGAGTACTTTGCGTGGCCGGATCTCTCAATCACAACTCCGGGGAACTCACTCAAATGAAAATACTCTTTTTTCAGTAAAGTTTCTGTCTTTTTCAGAGGGTTTCAGTTTCTTCCTTGTTTAGTCTCTTTTGGTCTTGTCCCAATCTTTAGTGATCTCTTTTAGTGTGTCTGGTCGTTTTAGAACTTGTGTTCGGAAACTAGAAAACAAAGAAAGTTTTTGTTTTTTTGACTCTAAGATCTTTACCTTGTTACCTTTTCCTCTGTTATTAGAGTTCTTGCACGAGTGATTTCGAATTGAAATGAGGATCCTTGTTTACAACACTTAGTCTGAATAGACAAGTCTTGAAAAGAATGGATCTTGTTCATTGGATGATGATCTACACAACATATTACTCTTTAACCTATGTAATTCATCTTGAGCTTGATTTACTTCTGGGTTAGACTGGTCTCCAGAGGAGAAAACTTTTGTATTGTTGTTGTTCACTTCAATCCAGCTCAAACCTGGATCTTTAGCAGAAGCTAATCCTCTTATCTTCTTTCTCATCTCTGCAACATCGTCCCATCTTCCATTCACCGCATAAAGATTCGATAGTAGAATGTATGTTGCAGTGTCTTCTTGATCAAGTTTTAGGATCTGCTCAGCTGCGTATAGTCCCATATGCAAGTTTCTTGTGTTAACGCAAGCGTTTAACAGAGTTCTCCAGAGCTCTGCGCGGTTGGTCCCGGGAGGAGATTCCCCTATCAGTTCCAGTGCTTCCTCTAGTAACCCAGATTTTGATACCAAACTCACCATGCAAGAGTAGTGCTTAAACCCTGCTTTGATCCCCCTTTCCTTCATTTGGTTCCAGAGAAATTTACCTTGCTGCGTCGATCCGCTGTGGCTGCAGGCTACTAATAAAGATAAGTATGTTACTGCATCCGGTGTGAGACCGTTTTCTAGGATATGTTCGAAGAAACTCATTGCCTTTTCTACCATTCCATGCTGACTGTAAGCTCCTAGCATTGAGTTCCAACATTTCAAATCTGGATTTGGAACAAGAGAGAATACTGATTCTGCAGCATTGTATTTTCCATTTTTGCTGTACATGTCCACTAGAGCTCCACATACCGACATAACGTTATCAAATCCAGTCTTTATAGCAAGAGAATGGAACACTTCACCTTGTCTTAGCATCGCCATGTCTGAACATGCTCCTAAGACACTGCTCAGGGAAAAACCATCAGTTTTATTTTTTTCTTGGTACATTTCAGCAAAGAGTTGGACCGCACACTCGCTGTTTCCTAATCTGAATTGCCCTACTATCATCCCAGTCCAAAGAACAATATCTCTTTCTGTGATCACATCAAAAACCTTCTGCGCAGATTCAGCTTCCCCGTTCTTGAAGTACATGGACAAGAGTGTTGTTCCAACAAAAACACTCCTTTCATATCCTAGTTTCGTCACTTGTCCATGGAGAAGCTTCCCATGAATAGATCTTTCTGGTTCCGCAGTGGCAGATATAGCAGCAGAGAGAGTAAACTCATCTGGCCGAGGTGTGGACCTCCTCTGTAATCTTCTATACATAAGAATCGCCTGCTCTCCAAAGCCGTTTTCTGAGCACCCCGAAATAATCGAGTTCCAGGAAACCAAATCTGGCTTATAAATCCTCCCAAACACATAGAGTGCTTCTTTCATGTCTCCACAACTGCAATACATGTCAAGAAGAGCATTTTCTACAGGTAAATCAGCTAAACTATCCGAAACTATTATCCGGGCATGGATTAGTTTCCCCAGTGAATAGCTTCCCAGTTTACTACAAGCATTCAGCACCATGGAATAGGTGAACTGCGTTGGATCAACACCAGACATCAACATGCTTCTAAAGAGCATAAGCCCTTCTTCTATCTTATCGTTTCTCAAGCTCCCAACTATCATTGTGTTCCAAGCCACGGCATCTCCATCATTAACACACTCAAAGATCCCCCTCGCAGATTCTAAGTCCCCGCAACTCGAGTACATCCCCAAAACCGATGTCTGAACAACCACATCATCTAAAAAACCAAGCTTTATAATCTTCGAATGTAATAATGATCCCATTAAAATATCCTCAAGCACAGCACATACTTGCACTAAGCTAGTGAAAGTCGAGCTATTGGGCTTCAAGAACTCAGATTCCATATGGGTAATCAGACGAAACGCGTAACCTGCACAATCTGAGCTCCGGGAATACGCCGAATAAAGTGCATTGTAAGACACTACGTTTCTCTCAGGCATTTTGTCGAACACTTTGCGAGCTTGTTCTAAGGAGCCGCACCTCACGTACATCGAGATGAGGTTATTGTTTGCGTACGGTGAATCGGAAGCTGCGCCTACGGTGAGGACGAGAGCGTGGAGCCGACGCGCCCGTTTTAGTGCCGTGATCGAGACGCATCTCCGTGTGAGTTCTACTAAGGAAGAAGCTATTTCGTTCAGGGGCATTTTAAACGCTGCGTTTTAAGTATAGAGTCTCCTTTTTATAAAACGGCGCGTTTTGTGACCTCTCCCTTATTATTATGAAACGCATCGTTTTGTACAATTTCTCTCGTTACAAGAATACGCAGCGTTTAGACGTTGTCAGGGAAGGGTTTTTATTTCCGGCGAGAGAGAACAGTCGTCGGAGTGAAATGGCCACCGGGGAAATAGCTTCTCGTCTCCATCTCTTGATCGATCGTTGTGTTCGCCGCTATGATGTAGGTTCTCTCTAACTCTTGCTCTCCGATTTTCGTTGCGAGTGAGTTACCGTAACTTAATTGTATCGCTCGATGGTTCTCGGGTCATATAGGAACGAGACGGAAACTCGTGGACGAAGGAAATGGAGAAAGATCTTCTTATTTCTCTATCGCAGGTAACATATTCGTAAATGCATTTTTGGGTTCTGTGACTTTGATATACACCCCTCCCCTCACAAAAAAATGGTATTCCAGGTGCTAAGAGAAATTCAAACCTGGATTGATGAAATTGGCCGTGATTCAGCAGCGGTGAGTTCCTTAGTTCGAGTATGTGTTTAAGATTCTAAGATTTGTTGATGATTATCGCAGCTATTTGATTAGCTAAGTTCAACAGGAAAAAAGAGAGCAAGCTGTTGATCATGAAGAGGAAACTTGTGCTGTTTTGTATGGTCCAGAATCCAAAGAATATCAATGCTTAGAAAGACTTGTGGCCAATCTTGTAAGTTCCTTATTCTTGGTTCACAGAGAAACTTCTCTCTGCAATAATGCTAGACTTGGGGGAAAAAAGCTAACTTGATTTGAATAGGTTTTTTATTTTGTACCTTTGATGGTTTAGGTATTTTATTGTTTTAAAGTTGTTTGATGAAGCAGGGCACGAATACATGCCCTTAGGTTGATCTGGTATCTCTGGGTTTTCTTGCAGGTTGGTTTGTTGGGTATGAAGAGTGTGCATGGTCAACATTTGGCTGGCAATATTCTTGTGGAAGTATCTGAGTCACTGGTTGAATCTGTATGTCAGCTCTGCTTCATTCGAGATTTTAAAATGTCATATCTTCCAGTTCTCATTCATACTCATTTGTCTTCTTAGGAAAGTCAATGGGATGATTTTATTCGGTTGCTTTGTGACTGTCTGCACTTAGCAATTATCTACATTTGCCCAATTCCTGCTGTTTCTTCTGAAAATGGATGTGGAAGTCCGGATCTACATTTGTTTGGTTCTGATGTTCTTAAATGTAAGCTGCAAAAGGCTAACTGGTGCACGGTGTCTGCTATCTTTCGAGTTCTTCGTAATATATTGAAGCGGTTGAGCCAAGAAGAAAATGAGGAGCTTCTTGATGTATACTTAGAATCTGTCAACTCTACACTTGCAAAAGTTCCTTGGTGCCGAGTAGATACTATTTTTTCTTATCAGCATGTTAGTGGTGAAAGAAATTCCCAAAGTCATAATGGAACTCTAGGAAGCATTGCAAACAGTGAGGAAGTTACTGTATTTCTTGGGAAATTTGTTCAGTTTCTCTGTTCCCTGGTTCAGCAGGTTCGCTTTGCAGAAGATTCTGATAGTTTTGGACCTGCACATTTGATACTCCAAAAAACCATCGAGCTTGTTCCGAATCTCCTCCGTTGGTGCCAACCAAAGATAGAAAGTCAAAGTGGCTCTTGCATGTCAAGATACCTAGCGCACAAGTTGCTGGTACTTTATTTCATCTGTTTACAAAGTTACAAGTTTGGAGAATTTCTCTTTGTTTCTCGATATCTCTGATAGTAAGTATGTTCTATGCTGCTGTCTCTCCATTTTTGTAGGTGTTGATGACCAGACTTACTTATCAGTCCAATATCAAATGTACCATTCTTCTTTCATGGCTGCAATATTTGCAACGCCACTTTCAAGGGTTTCTTCAATACACCCTAACTAGGTTCGGACCTGTCCAAGATAATTGTTTGGAAGGTTCTCCATTTTTTGTGTGTTTATCTGATCGGGAGGTCAATGAAGCACATTCCAATCATTTGCAAAGACTTTCTGTGTTTCTGCTCCTACGGTGCTCCTTCACTTTGCTTGATTCAAGTAGACATACCGACAAGCACTGTGGGTTTGATTGTAGAAAGAAAGGGATGAAGGAGATGTTAAAATGGATTGAACTACAGATTCCAGGCGATACATTTTCCGCTCAAAGAACTTATACCAAGAAGAGTGTTGACTTTTCTACATCTTTTGTCCGGCTGTTTATGCATGAGGTATTAGTTTATCCCTCTGTATCAGCCATTTGTATTTTGGTTTTTAGTTGAACACCATACAGTATAGTTCTATTATATCATTTCTCCATCTAAATGTAGGATGATCTATTATTTAAAGTCCTCCTCCAATTGCTGTCTGTACCATTGCGTGGAGGGGAACTGTAAGTAGGGTAAAACACTGCCTTTCTGCTAACAGTTAACCAAATTTTTGTGAGCTCTCTTATGGGTGTTTTTACTTATAGGCTGAACGAGGAAGGGCGTTCGCTACAAGATGAGGAGCAAACTATTCTCTTTCGTTTATCAACCCTGTTCAATCCTGTAGTACTATTCTGTATATTTCTTTCAGAGGTAATTTTCATAAAACATTCACATGGGAATCACTTGTGGTATGGTCCATGTAGACTTGGTTATTTGTTCAAGCATTGTTGCAATTCTTAATGCGAAACACCTCTGTTTTCTATTGTCAGCTGCATTATGATCATCAAGTGCTTCTTGATTACCTTATATCTAAAGACATTGGGGCTAGCTGTGCAGAGTACCTGCTGAGGTTAATCCTTTTATCTAAAGTTATTTGCATATCAACTGCTCTATCCCGAGTATCAGGACTGGATATGATCTGTTATTTTGTTTGTGTGAGGCCAGCCATGCTAGCTCGTACTAGATCCGCCTTTGAATGATTTCTCTAGTTTCCAAAATACCTAAACGGGTTTTCCAAAAAAGTTCATAATATAGGTTGATTCCTGTTTAACATCCACTGTATTTTCCTGGTAGATGCTTGCGCGCAGTCTGTGATTCGTGGGCACTATTTTTGGAGTTTCCATTTGAAGGAAATGTAGATGCTTCGTCTTCAAAAAGAAGGAAAATTTCGCTCGAGACTTCCGAGGTTGAACAAAACTGGAAATTACGTCCCCAGGCTTTTGAAGAGGCTAAAGACTGTCTGCTTTCATTGCAAAATTCGATTGTTAAGTTACATCAGAAGAAATTGTTTCCATACAACCCAGAACCTCTTCTACGACGGTTAGTCTTTGGTCGCCACAATAAACTCACCATATGCATAAAATCACTTAGCATA